GCCTATCTGCCTACATATCGATCGATCTGTCGATCGATCAAAGGCGCATCACACCGGTAATCCATGCGTTGAATGAATCAGAGAATGAAAGTTCAGTTTGCGATTCACTCATTTCCATGCTGAACTTCTCTCGTTATCAAACCATTAACTACTGTTTTGCTCATCTCCGTTGAAAAAAACACCACTTACATCTAAATTGTATCCAGAAACATGAAATTTATCAGAGAATAAACGAAGCACTCAGAGAAACATGTAACGCATGGACTTGTTTCTATCGAGATCGTTCAGTTGTATCACAAATCTTTGTTACAACTAAATTCTTCTGGGACGGAAATTACCCTCCCTGCATTGCGCACTGCAGTTCGTTTGATGAATCATGGGTTCTTAGCCCATCCACGCAAAAAAGACTCGTCGAAACCTGTCCAAGAATAGGTGAACATACTGTCTCCAGAATGTCACTAAATCGATTGGGTCACCGGGTGACGATTTTGACATTGTTGGCGGTGATGGTGATGGTGGTGGTGGTGGTGTGGTGGTGGAGAGTAGAAACAACCGAACGAACAGTTAGTTACACAATGCAAGGTGTATTCACGATATTACAAGTCGCACTAGAAGCGATCCATCCAAATTGAATTGAAGTAGGTAAGTATCATCCTAGTTGAAACCAGTGTCCAAAAGAACAGAAATAATTTGGCGCAATCAATTTGCAAGTATACATTTTGACATAACGCGGTTAATATGAATTAGCCTGATCATCTGTCCCCTTGGTGAACCGGTTAACATGCCGTCAACCGAATTACCAGCTCTCACCGGATCGATGACTTCCAATGCCTGATGTCAGGTAGCTCGGTTGAAGTGAATCTGAAACTATTCCAGGACATTCAATTTCACATACTGTTCATTTTAAGCCAGGTAACCGGCGTGTTAGATGCACAACTATCTCCCTCTCCCATTCAATATTTATCCCTTGACTTTGCATTGTTTCTTTTTTTCTGTTAAGATCAATCGTTTGACAAACAGCCTGTTTTCTGATTGACCAATAACACTTTCCCATCTTCAAACATTTCTACCACATTGTCCNCTACCACATTGTCCCTAATAATAAACCTGTTGTGGATCTAAAACTCATCGCTTAAATCAGGGTTAAACACAGAACTAGCGGCTTTTGAAACTATTAGTCCAATGTGCAAAAACCTCCAACTCAGTGTTATAATTACCGTTGGGATATCAAGAATTTGGCTTCCATATAACACAGATATCTCCTTTGGCACATGTCATTGTGATTCACGGAAATGAATGGAGCAATCCGTAGTTATTCTCTTGGGCATAGCAATTCGCTATCAATGGCCTTATCAACTTTTGATTGCTGAAGGAAACCGCCAACAACATTATTTTGCATACTACTCAGAAACGTGAGTAGTACCTTACAATAATAGAACCCGATACAATTATCTTCGAAACGAATGGTAATGATTTCACCTAGTCGATCTCCATGTAAATTAAATAGGTAGTTTTCTCCATGAAGTATGTAGAGGTTAGTCGTAGGAGAACCTGATTTAATGCAATTCAATGCTTACACGTTCTCTTTCTCTGATTCCGTTCTTTATTGGACGACGTTTATGGCAAATAATTAAATAAAGTCCATCTCCGGATAAGTTTGAATTGGTAGACAATGGCGAACATCAGCGCGGCTAAACTGATCCGGCATAGAAACCAGTACCCGGGTTGAACTCGATTAACGTTTGTCTATCACTGACTGATTGACGGACAGACTGATTGATTGACTAACTTACAGACAGAAAGACAGATCTACCGTTTATTTACGGATTTGAATAGGCCGTGAACAGGCTACCGGACCCAACTATATATGATCTGATGTCCGCGAGAAACTGGCAGGTTCCTAATACTGACTGGCTTTTCTATTTTCTGGACCCAAAAATTGGACCTGTCAGATCTAACTACTTCTGCGATTGAGATGATCTGTTTCAATCACCGGTTGTGCATTCCCTTTGCAGGTCTCAGTCAAAATATAAATGTTTATAAATGGTTGTATAGTTATTTTACTCGGTTTTGTTAGAAAACATCTCCATCATACATCCACCACCACCACCACCACCATATTCAATCGGAATTAGGGTTTCATAGACCCGACGCGATGATGATAGATTGGATTATACTGATGAGACCTCAGTTACTGGTTCGCTTGCATTATTGTAGTTTCCGTTTCTGACAAAGTGCTAGTTCTGTGAGTAGTCTGTTGAGATTGCACAAACAAACGTCAGTGACTGTTTCTCTCAACGATCAAAACCAAACAAGACCTCTTAGAACCAGTTACTGTGTTCAAAATGGTAACTATGGAAAATGCGCATCCACCGTCGGACTGTTCCACTACTTATCCTGTGAGCTTGTGAAGACCGGTTGCAAAGGAGACATAGTGTTGTATGTATGCCAATTTACTGATGTTGTTAGCGTCGCTCGTAACAAGTCACTGTACTCGCCCCGGACCGCCTTGTTGAGTTATAACAGTAGTATTAGTAGTGGTCGTCATCGTCATTGCCTTTGCCTTTATCGTTGTCATTTTTGTTGTTGTTGTTGTTGTTCTGTTTGTGGCTGTTGTTTTCGTGATATTTTTGTTTCTGATCAAACGAAATAGGTTCTTTTTTATGTCGGTTGTGAAACATTCAATAGCTTCGGTGGGATTCGAACCAGCGTATGGACTCCGCCTGCGCATTTGTTCAGCGCACACTTTGTCAGCTGAGCTATCAGGCCGGATCGATAGCATTGTTCTTTTCACGTTTGAATTATCCATCCAACTTACAGAGGTATATGGTATCCACCAGGTAACATTTAAGCTGACTGGCCCGACAGGTTTTCCTTAGAATTCACTGGAGTCCACCGAATGAACTTCTAAGGCAAGATTTTATTGTTCAAACTTCAAATCTGCCAAACAACAATTTGAACAAGAAATAGATTCTATTTCAATTTCAACATTCAAAATTAGCACAGTAAATAGTAGTATTGTTGTTTTTATCTTAGCATGCATGTTCGCTTGATTTGTCGTCTTCCATGGATAAATGTGATAAACGGAATAGTACTAAATGTAGAAATACGATAACCCGTAATGTGCTGTTCAGAAGTGGATTTGCTCCAATCCGAACTGCGGATACCAATAAAATACGCGAGGAATTGATAGCATCAAATGCCTATGTTTATTGATGGAATTAGAGCATGTTTTATAGGAGGTAATAGACCATATGATTGGTTGAAGGACCGTCGTCCAACCACGTAGCCGTTTGCCCCGACGCATCACATGTACTAACTCCGATGTCCTGTTCGCCCGGTATACCATTGGTCGAGCTTCCTGAACGGTGATTGGATGACATGAAGCTGTACCTGGTCGTGTCTGGAATGCGGTCACGGAAGTCTGGATCATCACAATAAACTAAACTGCAACATCACCAAGTTAGGGAAAAAGCATTCCGCACATTATTGCAACATTTTGTTCCCAAAGTGCCTACTGCTATCGGAACCCGAGGGTGTACCATACAAACGCTTGCCACAAGCTAAGGGAGTGATGACCAGCTGCAAACAGATAAGATATCGTGTCAAACGACCCCGTCAATTGTTCATCGGGGGTGGGAGGTGGGGTCCAGGATGTTTACAGTAATGTGATGTTTGCGTGGACTTTCAGTTCATAAAATCGGTTTATTTACCCACATGTCACAAACGCTACGGTTATCAATGATGGCGGACCAAAAGCGAGTTTATCAACAGTGTTTACTTGTCCGCTCCTAACGAGTGGGACACAAATCGTGAACATTTCGGTTAGGAGCCCAATCTGGTTCCTCTGGTCCAGAAGAACCAGAGGAACCAATGAATTGAGTGTAAAATACTGAAACCAAAAGAATGATTTTCGTTTTCATCTTTTAACACAAAGGTTTGTCATTTGTGTTCCGACAAGGTGAGAACGTATAAATCGTGCTGAACAGTTCCAATGTGATTTGTCTGCCACAACAAACACACAAACACCGATCTCAAACGAAAAGCGTCTATCAAACCCGCCCTGGTTTCATCGATCGTTGTACCAGCTCGTGTGGTATGCATAGGCACATAATTTAACCTTCACTGAAG